GAGGCTGGGGATGGCTCATCTGTGCGTGTGTGTTCGTCGTTCACGTGCTCACGACGGGCCTTCAGTTCTCCTACGGTGTCCTGTACACGGATATGCTGGAACACGTTGGGGACGATAGATCCATGGATGCAAGTAAGTGCTTTTCTTCCCGTTATAATTTTTGTTCGTTTGTTTTTTTGCTGTGGTTACCTCGTCGCCATCACCATAAATACTGATGACGTTTGTTCATCATCATCATCATCATCGCGATTATAAACGTTATCACGATGCGAGGATGGCATGTCCATGGATGCAAGAAAAGGGTGACTATCAATTGTCTGTTGTTTTTGTTTATTATTGTCTTCATCCTCTTCATTACCATCGCCACGTCAGGTACGGACGCGGGGTACAGAAGGGTAAACTAGTTCTGCTTTCTAAATAATATTATACATTCTCTCTCTCTCTCTCTCTCTCTCTCTCTCTCTCTCTCTCTCTCTCTCTCTCTCTCTCTCTCTCTCTCTCTCTCTCTCTCTCTCTCTCTCTCTCTCTCTCTCTCTCTCTCTCTCTCTCTCTCTCTCTCTCTCTCTCTCTATCTATCTATCTATCTTTTTTTCTCCTTCTCTCTCTTTCTCCCTCTCTCTTTCTCTCTCTCTCTCTCTCTCTCTCTCTCTCTCTCTCTCTCTCTCTCTCTCTCTCTCTCTCTCTCTCTCTCTCTCTCTCTCTTCTCTCTCTCTTTCTCTTTCTCTTTCTCTCTGTCTGTCTGTCTGTCTGCCTCTGTCTCTCTCTCTCTCTGTCTCTCTTCTTTCAGTCCTTTCATTTTCAGCGCCCCTTGTCTCTGTATTTCAGTTTCTCATTCTTTCTCTCTTTCTCTCTGTAGTCTGCTTCCGACTCTCTTCCCCCTGCCTGTTTTATTGTATATCTTTGTCTACTTCTGTTTCTTTACCCACCATTTTAAAATCTTTTTCTCCACGTTTTTTTTCTCCACTCGCGTCTTACTCTCTCTCTCTCTCAATCTATCTATATATCTATCAATCTATCTATCTATTTATCTGTCTCTCTCTCTCTCTCTCTCTATCTATCTATCTATCTATCTATCTATCTATCTATCTATTTATTTATCTACCTATCTATCTCACTATCTCTCTCTCTCTCTCTCTCTCTCTCTCTCTCTCTCTCTCTCTCTCTCTCTCTCTCTCTCTCTCTCTCTCTCTCTCTCTCTCTCTCTCCTTTTAGCGAATGTAATTGAGAATGAAGCCCACTGGACGAGAATCAGCGCCATGAGTTTTACGTGACAGCCTTTCGCTTTCCCCTTTTCAGGTCGTTTTATTGGTTTCTGTGAGAGATTAGCCATTTGAAGGGCTAGGGGAGGTAGGGGAGGGGGAGGGGGGTGAGAGGGATGGTGGGAGAAGGGGTTGGGGACGGTAGGGATAGAGGGAGAGAGGGGGACAGGGGTAGAGGGACGGTGAGAGAGGGGGAGAGGGACGGTGGGGGTAGAGGGGGAGGGGGGAGGGGAAAGGTGGGGGGAGAGGGAGAGAAGATGAGAGGGGTAGAGAGACGGTGGGAGAGGGGCAGGGGGGGAGGGGGGACGACTGGAGAGGGGGAGAGGGGGAGGGGAAAGGTGGAGGAGAGGGAGAGAGGGTGAGAGGGACGGTGGGGGTAGAGGAAGGGAGAAATGGGGATGGTTGGTGGAGAGTGAGGGGTTAGGTGGGGGAGGGGGTGGGGGACGGAGGGGTAGAGTGATGGGTAGGGAGAAGGGAGCGGTAGAATGTGAGGGAGGGGGGAGGGGGAGGGATGAGGGATGAGGGAAACGGTGAGGGGAAGGGGAGGGGAAGGGGGGTAAGGGGAGATAGTGGAGGAGGGGGAGGGGTGAGGGGAAGGTGGTGGTGAAGGTAACAGTTAGGGAGGAGGTGGAGAGGAGGGGGGAGGGGGGGCCTTCTCTTTATTGTTACCCTTCTTTTGTAAGGTCTTTATTGCTCCCTCTTTGTGTGACATCACATTCGTTCTTTATCTGTTTGACGACATGTGATTTAATTCCGTGTGGGGGGATCTAAGCCTATCCTCAAGACACTAAATGGATTTTTAAATTGCTCTATATTTCCACGTATATATAAGGGAGAAAAAAAAAAAAAAAAAAAAAAAAAAAGAGAGAGAGAGAGAGAGACACAGAAATATACAAAAGACTAACTGACAATCTGGATCCTGTTTTGTTCTCACGATCATCTAACTTAACGTCTTGTATAGGAGGTTCGAAATCCTTCCCTCCCCTCCCCTCCCCCTCCCCTTCCCCCCTCTTTCTTCTTGAAGGTTTCGAGTTGCCGATGCGAGAATTTATGGCCCGATTTTATTGTGTCGTAAAGTTCGATACATGCCAGCAGGAGTTGCCATGGCGCTGCCCCGTTGTTCTGGAGTGATGCGAGGGAGAGGAAAGGGAGTTACAGGGGTGTTCTGACATTGCGGCGAGATGAAGGGAGGGAGGCTGGACGGGAGATCTAACCACGTGAGGGAAAAGGGTGTGAGAAAG